GCTAAAGTATATTTGTCTAAGCAATGACAATTCATAGGCATTTTATACTTTTTGAATGACGTTCCTTCAAACGCATCAAATTTGTTTTTGAAAAATTTGAAGTTATAAGTGGAAATGCAATTGGTACTGCACAAATGCGGATCAACATTCCGCCAATCCAGGAAAAGTCAAGGAGCGGAAACTAAAGGGAAAACACACACTTAAATAATAAAGTATTTCCTTTAGAAGGTTTCATTTATAGAATACAATCTTGTGTTATTATGTACCATTATCTTCTTCTCATTTAGGGAGAATAACATAGAGAATTGGAGTAGAGGAATTTCATTGAGTATTACATTGAGTATTGTAGCTAAGAACCTTTCTTATAGAGGAAGAAATCTCAGATTTTCATCACTCCAAGCTTAGATTTCAGATTTTGTTAATCAACTTATATTGAAATGGAGATTTTCTTTACCAAGGTATTGTCTCTATTTCTTCTTTTATGAGGAGCGAAATCCTTAGCTCTGTGTGTGTGTGCGAGATAAGGGTGTAAAACCCCAAATAAATATTGATAGGTTCTAAAATTGATTTTATCACATGAATATGTTGTTGTCTTGAAATTTTAATCTAAAAATTAGTGGGTGCAAACATTTCTGAGCTCTCTAACAATGTTTTTGCTTGAGAAAACAAAATGAAGTTGGGTAAGACTCAATAATGAGAACTTGTGGAAATTACTCTATTAATTTGAGCCAAGAATGGGATAATCAAAGTAATTTCTCACGTAATAATATGATCTAGTGATAGTTTATCTATTCAAGAAATGTTTGGGTTTTTTGGTAAAGGTTGTGTAGTTCGAGAGAATCCAAGGGGTATACGTTTCATACCTAATGTAGTATAGACCAAACATTATTCATATATCAATCGATTTTGTTACGATTAATCTGTCTGTTTGAGCTGAAACCCATATCATAAGGCACAAACCCATGGTCTTTCCAAACTTGATAGATCATATTTGTATTGATTATGTAATTTGTTACTTGATATCGACAAATTTTAGTTTTCCTAAAAACCCCCCATTTTACATATATGCGTGTTGAGAATTTATTGTGCTGTCTTCTTTTGAATTATGAAATCAATTGAGAGTGATACCATATTCTAATTCTTTTGGTTCAACCATAAAGTTGGGTATTATTTTTGCAAACAATCACTGATGCTCTAAAAACTGAGAGATAGTTAAGCGTCATCATTCTCTATAATGTGTGATAATAACGTCCTTTCAGCCGCTACAAAAATAATAGTATCATCTGCATAAGTAAGATATTTAAGTTGTCACTCCACTTAGGTAGCTCAGAATATCAGTTTTATTTGATTAAGGCCTAATGAGCACTTCTGCTGCAATGATGAATAGAGGGAGGGGGGGGGGGATAAAGGGTTATCCTGCTTCACCCTTTTTGTGGAATGAAAAGAAAAACCTCGACTCTCACCATTGATGATAATAAAATACCAATCATCAACAATAATTCACCTAATCATATCAACCACAACGATATCAAAACCCATCCATTAAAGCACTTCCACCAAGAATCTATAATTCACCCTATTATATGTTTTAACTATATCTAGCTTAATTATAAAATTAGTTGGATTACCTCTTTTACTAATATGAGTAATAATTTCTTGAGCCAATCACACATGTTAGATATGTTTCTGAAAAGACACTTATTGAATCACCAAATATTCATATTTTCCATTATACCAACCAAATCCATTCGAAAGGTTATAAATCAACAAAATTTTCTATTCTTCAACTTATTATGAAAAATCACTCCATGTAATTACCCTTCATTACTAATGTAAACATTATTAATAATATATTATATTCTTCGTTATTCTTCTACACTATACTAAACTACTTTGATGACATAGGTTGTAATTGAAGTCATAATCTTAATTAAACAAGTCAATATCACTTTTTTTTGAAATTTTAATTCACAAGTTGGATTATACCTCAAGTTAAATTATCTAGGGCAACTTATGTATTTTTCTAAACTTAGGTAGGGAAATAATAATTAAAAAAGAATTTAGGTGGTGGAAGTGTAATTTGCAGAAGAAATTGAATTTTCCATAGTGGACTCTGAAGAAGTACTAAGTCCAGTTTTAGCAAGCAAGTTTTCCTATCCCAAAGCTGTGCAGAGAGGAGCAACATCCTGCACAATCTTCATATCCAATTTTAAATTTCACAATAAAATTGGAAATCAGCAACATAACAAAGTTATCTTCATTAGTCTCTGTTCTCTCTGGCGATCAATCTACATTGGTAAACATCTTATTCTGTAGAGCCCTAATTGGAAAACCAGAGTTCAAAGCTGAAAAAATGTCGTGGTTTCAATCGTCCATGAGCAAAGCCGTGAATGTTGGGAACAAGAACAACCTCACCCGCACTGTCAAGAACTACGCCGACTCCGTCGTTCAACAAGCTAGTCAAGCTGTCGCAGAGGGTGCCAAACTCCTCCAAGATTATACTGTAATTTCTCCACTATCCTATTTTGTTTCTTTACAACCAACACTACATATTATTAATCCTTTTGTGTTAATGTATTAAGATTATATAACACAATTAGGTGTCAATTGGTTGTCTTTCAATGGGTTTATGAAAATAAGCATAGTATAGTACATTGTTTGGTTCCTTTTTAAGGAGTTTAATTTTGGCATACGGTCTAATATAGCTAATACAATGTTTTGTTAGCTTTACCGTAGTAAATTAATGAGGAATCTATGCATATTTTTTGTGGGGTAAAATATGGAATAAGAATATACACTGAAATGACAAAACTAAACCTCTTAAACTTAACAAACATTTTATTTTGCTAATGTATTTTAAATATATGCATTGTATAATAATATGATAATCAAACCAAATATGCAACAAGATATAATTCACATTACAATCCTTGCATTGCAAATCAGTGCAAAAGAATCCTTATATACTTTACTAAACCATTCATCAGTAATCCTTATATATAATTCATGTATTACTAAGTGTTGTATAACTTGTATCTAAACTAAACAACCTTTAACTAATTTAAAAATGTAGTTTCTAGTCAGGTATACAACTTTCTTTAATTTTTTCACTCAATGGTGTGTGTACTCATGTCCCTAATATCGGAACTTGATTATTTGTTTTACACATTTTGTGAATTAAATATTTAGAGAATTCCACTAAGAATAATATTTTGAGAAGTTTTTTTTATATACTTGGGGATTTCTTTTAATTCTTTTAAATAAGCTTCGAGCTATATTTGAGCAACTAATCAAGTTCTTACTGAAGTAATTAAGGCCAAATAATTAAAAAATGGACTTCAGGTCTAACACAACTCCAAAACGTAGCTTATGAAGTCATTATTATCCAAAACTATATGAGGAGACCAGTTCTAAAATTATCCATCCATGTGGGATCTAATGACCCCGCATGCCTATGACCTGGATTATTTGGAGCGTGAACAAAATTACATAGGGGCCCAACATCAAGTAAACCAAAAAATTGAATGAACTTGAGCTCTAAAAACATGATATAAAATAGACGTTCCGCCTAACTCAACACCAAAAGCTAGATCATGAGGTGAGGATTGCTCGATATCATATAAGGAGACCCATTTTTATATCTTCAACTGTTGTAGGATCTACAACAAGGGGAATCCAATAGAGTTAAATCAAAAACAATACATCTCACTTTTAAGCACCATTCAGAATGTCATGTTGTTCCCTTTCCAATAAATAGTTCTCCTCACCATCCTCCTTTTTTTTCATTATCTTGAATACCTTTTTATGCAAAACACATTCAAACTAGGTACTTTTTTTTCGCAGTCTTCTTCAAACCTCCTACTGAAAATTATCTGGAATAACTAATTTCAACTCAATCTTTTTCTTTATAATCATTTAGACCCATGTTTCTTTCTTTTTTTTAAAAAAGAATTGGTAAACATAGTATTCTTCAACAATAAGGATATGCTGGGGACCTTTAGAAAATCAGGAAAAAAAAACAAAGAGCAAAATACTTACAAGGATCCTAAAAATTCTAAGAGTTGATCAAAAAGTTGATCTAAATCCTCTAATCCTATCTCTTTACACCACAAAAATAGACACACAGTGCAATTCCACTTAACCTTGTGAATGGAATTGGATATATCTTCAAAATTCCTACTATTCCTCTCCTTCCACACTATCCACCAAATGCAATATGGAATCGATTTCCACTAGGTCTTTTGTCTCTTGCTACCTCATCTCCTGATCCAACAACTAAGTAAATCAGTTGTATGTTCGGGCATAGTCCATTTCACTTCTGAAAAGTTGAGAAGCATGGACCATATTTGTGTTGTGAAAGTGCAATGTAAGAATAGGTGACTATTAGTTTATCCTGTCTTCCCACATAAAGAGCACCACAAAATTATGATTTTTCCCCTCAAGACTTCATGTGTCAAGCATGCCTTTCTGGTAACCAGCCAAGTAAAACATTTAACTTTTATCGGTGCTACAGTCCTCAAGATATTTTCCATGAACTCTGGTATCTGCTACTTTGCAAGTTGCACTCCTTTTTATATGCCCTGCCAACTGTGAAAATGCCCTCCTTACTGTGAGCATTTAACATCATTGTTAGTATTGGTGCTTGCAAAATCCCCCACTTCCTCCAGTAATTTGGCTAATCTCTCTATTTCCCATTCATTAAGAGGTCTTCTGAAATAGAGATTCCAACCTTGTACAGTCCAGCAATCACTGATCATTGCCTCAAAATAGGTGCACAAAATAAATAGTTCGTGAAACAAATCTTTTGTGGTGAATTGTTTGATCCATACATCCCACCAGAATCTAGTTCTCCATCCATCCCCCACCTTGATATGTAAATTGGCTTCTAACTTGGCCCATAAGTTTCTAATAGCTATCCAAACCCCCGCTCCATAGTTATTCCTGCTTATGTTACTACACCAGAATCCATCCTCCGCATATTTACATTTAGTCAAATCTTTTCACAAAGGTTGCCTCTCCTTTGTGTATCTCCACAACCATTTCATCAAAAGACTGTTGTTATGCTTCCTCAAATATCTAATGCCCAAGCCACCTTTATCTTTTCTATGAAAAATTGTCGCCCACTTGACCACATTGTATCCTTTGTTATCTTTGCAGCCATGCCAAAGGAAATCTCTCCTAAGTTTTTCCAATTTCTTAACCACTTTCGCCGGTATAGTGAAAAGAGACATAACATATGTTGGGAGAGAATCTAGAACGAAGTTGCTAAGAATGTGTCTACCACCAAAAGAAATGTATTGAGCCTTCCATCTAGCTAGTCTCTTTTCAGTCTTGTCGACTATGTTGTCCCATATCTTCAAATCTTTGTGTGTATTACCTAAAGGCAAACCCAAATAAGTTGTGGGAAATTCTCCCACTCCGCATCCCAAAATGTTCACTAGACTTTGAATGTTTGTCACATCCTTAATAGGATATAAACTTCTCTTCTCCCAGTTAACTTTCAACCCTGTATAAGATTCATAAAACAAAAAAATTAGTTTGATGAATCTAAATTGCTCCTCTTGTGGCTCACAAAAATCATGGTGTCATCTGCATAAAGTAGATGACAAATCTCTTTAATATCACCATTGTTTCCACTAATTTGGAAACCTCTGATCCATCTGTTTTGAGTAGCAATCCTTATCATAATATCAAATCCCTCCATTACCAAGATAAATAACAAGGGTGAAAGAGGATCACCCTGTCTGATTCCCCTTTCGGGAGAGGAAAACCCACTGGTTCTCCATTTACAAGAATGGAGAATATCGCCGTGCTTATGCCAAATTTTATCCATGCCACCCATATTTCTCCAAAACCCATTTGTCTCAAGGTGTTTTGTAGGAAACCCCAATTTACATGATCGTATGTTTTTTCAGTGTCCAGCTTGCATATTACCCCTAGACTGTTTCTTTTCAATCTGGAGTCCACGCACTCACTCGCAATGAGAGTTGCATCCATTGTTTGTCTTCCTTTAATAAATGCCATTTGTTTTTTGTTGACAAGCTTATTAATCACTCTTTTCAGCCTTTCCGCCAGTAGTTTTGCTATCACCTTGTAAACTCCAGTGATCAGACTTATTGATCAGACTTATTTCTACATTCTTAGCTACCTTCTCATACGTGACAGCCAATTTTTTTTTGTTGGATCTCCTCCTCTGTGAGCACTCTTTGTTCCTGTACAACTTCCCATTTGGCCAGCTCCTCCATAATCTCCTCCTTTTGTGCTTAACAATTTTTCCTATTATTCTTACTCCATTCCTTCATCTTTCCTTTCTAAGGTTTCAGCTTTTCTTCCAAAACAAAACATGGGATTCCACTTAATAAAAAAGATTGCCACCATAATTTAACCTCTTCCTTGAATCCTTCAACTCTCATCCACCAATTTTCGAATTTGAAGTAGGACTTCTTGAAATTCAGATTCCCACATGTTAGTAGAATTGGGTTGTGGTCAGAACCCAACTTTGGCATTGTGGATTGCTTGATAAAAAAGAACTGCTCCTTCCATTGTGAGCTATAGAGAAATCTATCAATTCTGGAAGCTGTTTGGTGCCCTTCCCCTCTTCTCCAAGTGTAAGACCCTCCAAATAAAGGAGGGTTTATTAATTCCAATTCCCCAATGCATTCAGGAAATTCACTCATATCACCATTAATCCTAAAGCAATTTGATCTTTCTATCGGGTATTTAATAACATTTAAGTCCCCCCTACTACCCAAGGACCTTCACATAGACTTCTCATTGCACCCAACTCACCCCATAATTCTCTCCCCTCTATTTTCTTACACTTAGCATAAACTGCTGTCAGAAACCATAAATATTCTTGATTCTTGTTTGAAAATTTACAAGAGATGCATTGTGATCCTGCTTCTACCAGATCCCCCTCCCATATTCTTTTATCCCACATAATTAAAATACCTCCACTTGACCCTTGTGCCTCTACATGAAGTTCACTCAACCATCTGTTGTTCAAAATGCTGTGAATTAAACCTAATACTGTCCTTTAGTTTAGTCTCCAAAAGGATATAGACATCTGCCCCTATTGATTAATCAAGTTTCTAATTAAATCCCTCTTCCCATTATCGTTCAACCCCCTTAAATTCCAAGAAATTATTTTTATCATCATTGTTCACAATTGATAATCTCCTCCCTCTACTCCTAGGCTCCCCCTCTTTGAATTTCATATTGAAAATGAGATTCCTCGACTTTTTATGCACTGCTTGGTTGGTTGTGTTGCTATTATTTTCCCTGTTTCTTTGTTCCTCTCTTGTGTTTTTTTGCCCCATTCTACTTATTAGAGAGAAGAATTCTCTTTCATATCCCTCCGTACACACCCCAGAGATTTGGCTTAATTTGACTAAAATTATGTGAAATTTCAATGTTGCTTGAGACTCAAAGCCCTCCTCAGATATACTGTCATCAATTGCTAGGGGCCTGGGTTCGTGCAAGAACTCCATCGACTCTCCCAACAATTCCATCAACTCATCACCTTTAAAACTTTCCACCTCCATGCTATGTATTTCCTTACCCCCTGACTTGTCATTCCTAGAGGAGTTCGTGATCTGGATCGAGTCCTCTGGCATGCGTAAAAATTTTCCTCCCATGCACATGAAGGCCTCAGTTTCACCAGCTATGGTTGAATGGTCAAGGGAATTGAAAGAAGAAGAGCCCCAAAAAGGTTGAAAATCAACAAAATGTTTAGTAAAATGTTTGGGTTTTCAAGGACCAAAAGATTTTGAGTCTTCTTTTCATTTGTCTAGTCAGCAGACCCACTTAAAATAGGACTTTCATCCATCAGATCCAAGTAGGACCCTCTTCTCTTTCCACATGGGAAGTTTGAAAAGACTTTGCCTCATTGTTGTAACCATTGGTTTGAACATACATCTCTTGTACTTTCTCCTTTCCTTTCCCATGTCTGCTAGGTCTGCTATCATCAGAGACATAGCTATCCTGTACATTTTGTTTTTCTTTCCCATGTCTACTAGGTCTGTCATCATCAGAGACATTGCTAGCCTCTGCTTTCTCCTCTAACTTATTGTTCTCACCTTTTCGACTCCATCGCCGGTTTGAAGGTCGCCGAAGCTTCACACCAGATCGGTAAAGAGAAAATCAGCTTGCCATTCGATAATTCGACCTTTGTCGGGATGTTCTTCTTGGGTCCTCAAACACAGATTCTCACCCATCTCAGATGGTTTTTGATGTTTGTTTCTTCCTCATTTTCCAACCATCCTCCACATGCATCTCCAATCTTCTTCACGACATCTTTATTCCAGAGGTTAAGGGGGAGACCAAGAGCCCTAATCCATACCCAATCAAATCTTGTACTTTCATGGAAAGCACCTCTTGTTGGAGACCACCAATCTAGTTTCCTATTGTCTTCTTGCACTCTCCAATCTACCATGATAACATGCTTCGCAGCCTTCCTAGTTTGGAATTCAAAGAGAAATAAAAGAGAAACATGGTTAATTATTCTCTCAAGATATTGGGGTTTACATGCTGTAAAAGGAAGGAAAATCACTACATAATTACAATATGAGTAAATCAAGCAATATACTATATTTACTCTTATTCTAAGTACTCATGAGACCCTAACCCTGATACTTAAGGGGGTGCATAAAAATGTACCAAACTTGCTACATATATAACTCATTCTAGGACAGGCAATGGACTTGGTGAATATATCTATAGTTGATTATTTGGCCGCACGAACTTTGTGATGATGTCTCTGAAGATCTCCTTCTCTCTGACAAAATGACAATTGATCTCTATGTGACTGGTCCCTCTTGTTAAACACTATATTTGACGCAATGTGGAGTGGAACCGCGATATCACACGCAAGTTCCATTTCTGTGATCTCTCCAAATTTTAATTTCTCCTGGTATATGTTTGATCCATCTTTTTAAATAATGAAAGTTTAGATATAGACAACTGCTTTATTATGGAAATTAGTAAAGTCTTTAGTTTTATCCTTCCAGATTGTGTAATGTCTGTGGTCTTTTCTTTTATGTATAATTTGGTCGATATCTAGCTCTCGAAATTGTTGATTAAAGAAAGTTAACGACAAATTTACTCTTTTCTGTTACTCAGATTCTTGAAGTGCCAAATGAAGAGGAAGTCTTTCTTCTTTTTGAATTGTTTGGGTAAGTTTAGTCAGTATCACAGGCCATGAGTGTGTCTTCAGTAAATTCTGGCTTATGTTGTATCTTTTGACTAGGCATGGAGTGTCAAGATATTAACTGTATGTAGTTACCTGCAGATTCTGTCTCATGAGAGGAAAAGAGGTGCACTATGTAATAGTCAGCAGTATCCAGGATCTGGCAAAAGTTTTCTCAAGCTACAAAGATGAAGTATTGGTAAAGTCAAACAATCCTTTCTATTGTTTAGCAATAGAAAGCCGTCTTGATTTTAAATAAAATTAATAGACAACTATAATTGAAACTCTATGTACTTTTGTTACTCTCTTTGACTGTGCTACTTTGATGCCACAATCATTTGATGAAGTGTTGGGCCTTCGTATATGTTCAATATTTTTCACTGTAGTACTATGTTTTGCTGAGGCTGAGACTTGTTGCGTGGTTCAATTGCAGACATCTTTTATCTAATAATTTTAAATTATATGGTGTTGGTTGGTTAACTAAAATATAATCGAAGGCCATTTTATCCTAGAGGGTACTGCCATTCTGCATTTGCTTTGATAACAAATTTTATCTCCTTAATAACATCTCAACCAGATTATTGAAGTTCTGTGGATTAGTTCACCTCCTCTCCCTATTGAACATGAGAAATCATGTAACTTGATTTGAATTCTTTTCCTTGGAGAATTTAGTGTGTAGAGTTTGCATGAGTCTGAGTCAAGAGTTATGTCTATATAGGGGCTCCTGCTTCTCCTTTAGAATTAAGGAAGCTAGAGCAAAGGTCCTTCAAAGAAATGCTAGAATGGCCAGTTCTAGAGTTGGGGAAACATACTGAAAAATTGAATCTGGAAAAGAACCTTGCTTCTCTATATCAAGCAAACATGTTCAAAGAAGGAAGAGTTTCTTGAAGTCTTGCTTGGTCAGGACCTTTTCAAAATGTTGAGATCGACAGAAGCATTAGGAAACCTATAGATACATTTTTTTCATCTAAATAAAACGAATTTAAGATGGTTTCTGAACTTCATTGACATTATTTCATTGCATATATATATCTTATTCTTTCTTTCTCTTGGCCATATAATTATTGTTTGGCTACATATTTACATTTTCTTGCTTTACATTTATTTTTCTGGTTTCCTCATTAATGCTTTTGTTCGCTGAGGTCCCATACCCTGATTGAGCTCTGCACTTAAAATCTCCACCACAGTTTGGTTGCATTTTCTCCTTTGACTACTCTTCATGATTGGCCTCTGTTCCGTAGTTTCCACCTGTGTGCATCTTCATCTTTCTTCAGGTTTTGCCATCATCGAACTGTAAATCTCTTTTTGAAAGAACTTCAAGATTTTGTTGCTATATCTTTCCAACCTTTATCCTGATTGATTTCAAGAATGATCAGTTAAGACCTTAAATTTCCTGGTGTTGGTTAAATACATGTAAATCTACATGTTGAAGTTTCGGAAGATTTTGCTTATTTCTAGTTGCTCCGCTTCTACTTGTGTCATATCTTGCCAGTTCCACCATGAAGTTAAAATCAGAATGCTACGTCTTTACCTCATAATTAAACAACAGATTTTCATTACTTTTCTGCTTGCCCTATAACTAAGCTTACATCAGTAGTACTGCTAATCTTAATATATTATTCTCATTCAAGGAAGAGTTTAGTTATCTGGAGAAACAAGGAAGTTATTTATCTAGATTTATATACCAGGATCTTAGAGAGTGTGAAGACTCTAGTTTCGGTTGTTCTCTAATCAATTTTGACGCCTTACTTTCATTCTCAGAAGAGGGATATTACTAGAACATTATCTCTAACTAAAGGTAAGATTATTTTATAATAGAAAAGAGAAAATTTCTGATTAAAAGATAAAAATAACATCAAGATAGGAAATAGTGATAGCAATAGTTGAATGATGAAAAGACTTAATTATGAATTGGGCGAAATGCTTTTACTGCTACTTGATTCTTAATGTGTATCAATATAGCTATCTGATTTTCATAAATATTTTCTGTTGACAGAATATAGAAAGAGGAGGCAGTAAATTCGTGTGGCCAAGACTAGCGAAGTTGGTGAAATAGAGGAGGTAACATCTTTGCATGATGTTAAGTTATAACCAAATTGTTTTTGCATTAGTTATAGTTGAAGAGTATATGCAAAATATAGGATTCTGGGATTGCTTGGCCTAAAGGTTTGGGGTTCATATGTTTGTGTTTTCAGGAATTAGTGGCTGAGATTTCTACACTGAAGAAACAACGAGATGAAGAGCCTGTTTGGCTCAGCTTAAAAGCTGGTCAAACTGACTTAAAAGCTGATTTTTGACTTATTTAGCTGTTTGACAATACTCAGAATAACTTATTTTAAGCTAAAAAAAACTTATTTTAAGACAAAAGTTAAAAGCTGGGGTAGGGGTGCTTTTTTTTAGCTTATAAGCTGTTTTAAGTTGACCACATTTTTATCTTTTTGCTCTTAATATTTTTAAACAATCTCCAAATTACCCATATAACACTAACATTTCTTTCTTCCATTTTTCCCTTTTCACGTTTGACATAACAACTTCAGCACTTTTATCCAAATGCATAAGTGCTTATTTTAAAAATAAGTTTCAGCACTTTTAAAAGTACTTTTTTAAAGCTGCTTTTATTAAGCCCATCCAAACGGGCCCGAAATCGAAGCTCAATTGAAACAGGTGTACTTTGTTGTTGATAGAAGGCATTCCATTGGTTATATTGTTAGTATATTTTTCATTGAATGAGTTCTTTACTGGTTTACTTCATGTACAAATTTATCATGATAGGTGAAGACAACATGATTGTCTTTAATTGTCACTTTTTACAGTTACTCTCTAACACTAATATTTTCTCTCGTGCTTTACATTCATAGTGATAATCTCATGCAGACATATCTATATCGGGCTGTACATAAATTGTTTGGCAGTCCTTTTGTTAAAACATCGGCCTCATGATCTTTTGTAGATACAAATGACGTACAAATGGGTCTGCTATCTAATTTCTCCTTGATGAAATATCTTTCTACCTCAACCAGATTCATATCGAGGGACCTTGATGAAATATCTTTCTCCTTAAGGAAGCCACCCTCTAAAGACCACAACACATGTACGACATTTCTCAAGTCTCAAGTCTCAAGTCATACACACATATAGAGTATTAAGGACTATAGACTACACAAACTCACATAACATCATAGGAGACAAGAACATATTCAATCATTAGAATAGAAGACTCCCAACATACTTTGATCAAACATTCATATAGGGTTCATATAGGCAAGGGTCATGCGACAAGAACATTAGCCATATAGACCACACTTAACCCTAACATTATCTTCACATATACACAACATTATCCAAACAACTAAAATCATGAAACTAGTGTGGAAGACTATTCATATACTTCACATAACATCAATTCACTTAGAACATGATATTAGAATCAAGGCTACATTTAACTGATCCTCAGCAGCACCTTTTGACAATGCACCAAGTGCATTTAACTGATCCTTGAAATCTTCCTCATAAGTACTCCAAGCAGCCCACCAAAGCAGTTTCTTCGTCTCTCCTGACCTAAATCTCTTCATCCAGTTGGCCTCAACGTGCCTAACACAATACCTATAATCAGTAAAAATGAATAGTTAGTTAATACATTCAAGAGAATAAAATAATTAAAAAAACTTAAAGTACGTGTGGTGAGACGAAGGAAGGACATATTTTACTGCATTTATCAATTCCTGTACATGTCAAATAAGCAAATATATAGTTACAAAACTGTTATATGAAGAAGACAAATCATATTATATTATAAGTGGGAAGCTCAAATATTCAAAGTTGGATTACCATTTTGCCCTTTCACTAAATAAAAATAAAATAAAATAATTTATTAAATACTAATATTTTAATTACATAATGATGGAATATGAAGTTCAACAACTTCAATTTAATAATAAATAACTCTTCCAATTAAGTGACTCTTTGAATTTTGAAACTAAAATAAATTTTATGTATTATGATTCAATGTGCTCTATTAGTTTGGTATGTGAAAAGACAACTAAATATCAGTAAATTATTTCTGATATCATCATATTCATGTATTTTCCATCATCTACTGGTCTTTTTTCTTCTTCCTAAATAATGATATAGATACATATCGTCAAAAAACTAACAAAAAAAAAACCGATAGCTTCATTATGAAATTAAAGGGAGAAGTTATCTTACAATATAGTTCAAGTGTTAAGTTTAGAAGTATAAGATATGACATATATATTTCTTTACAACTTTTTTATGTCAGCTTATGACCTAAGTTTTTCTTTTTTCATTTTGGAGTTGACGTATGATTGTCCAAAATAAAGTTAGTATGCAACTCATCTTTTATATAATTATGTATCGTTTGACATTGTTCTGAAATTTATTTCATTGATTTTTTGGAGTTAAGGTATGGTTATACAAAATAAATTTGGTAGGCAAAGATTATTGTATGTTGTCTTTTCCTTCTATGTTTATTTTTTATATTTTCTCTCTATCATTCTTCTTTAATTGAATTTTCTATGAAAAGATTATATTATCGTAACCTTTTTTGAGATTGTTGCATTTTTGTACTAATCATTACACACGTCTTCATAAAATTTCAATCATTCTAATGAATTTATTAAAAAAAGATGAAATACACGTGCAAGACACGTGTCCAGAAACTAGTTATTCAAATAAACAGAAAAAAGTATTTACCTTCTGCATATCAGACATACAAGTAACATTTTCACCATCTTTCAAATTCAATGAATTGTTCAGCAATTGTAGAAACCATATCCATGTCCTAGTTGTCTCCTTATCAACAACAACCCATGCCAATGGATAGAAGCAATTTTGAGAATCTTGTGCCATAGACACCAAAATTTGTTCCTTACATTGCAATAAGGGGTCTCAAGCCTTCTTTTCATCCCAATTTTAAAGCATTAAAGCAGATGTACATCTGAAGGAACTTTCTTTTACCTTGTTCCAGTGCATCCTTTGATAAATTGATCACAATATCACTATCAAGATTGCTTTGCCTAAGCTCATTTGCATAAGCCTCAATTCTGTTGAAATCATCTAAGAAATTTCCATGTAATTATTAAAGAGCCGCCCTCTTGGATCTTTTCAACTTAGAGGTATAGAATTCAAGTGGAATTGATCCTTCAAGTCTTTTCTCATATCCTTTAGCTTATACTGAGGGTTATTCTGTAATTTACTCTTGAAATATTGTGCTAAAGTACTTGTGCAAGCTCTAGGATTTAAAAATGCATCCTTACAATTGTGATTTGTTTTCAGTATTTTAATCTTAAAACCTGGACCTTTACCATCTTGCAATATAAGCAAAACAAAAAGACAACCAATCATGCATTTATACCTTAGTCTAGTTCTACCACTTTTTTCCACTACTATAGGCTTGTAATTTGCAAGATAGTACAAATTCACAATTTTTCTTGCCTCATTCAAGTCCTTGAAAGTCATGGAGGGATGAAGTTCTTTGTAGTGACTGAGATCAACATTTACTTCTTTAGATTTATGCATCTTAATAAGCTCTAACTCATCGAAGTTATATTCATCATCACTACAAGCACTTTCTGTTTCAGCATCAGTTCCATATTCACACTCTACCATGTATGCTTCACTATGGTGAATAATGTTTGGTGCAGAAACAGTTTATTCAAAATCATCCACAGCAAATAAATGAACCACCTGAAATTATTCATTTAATAGGCATTGGAGTGTCTTAATTCCTTGAGATCCCTCAAGCAAGTAATATTTCCCAGAAGGTCCTTTCACTAGAATTTGTTTCACAAGCACAAATCCTAAGTTTTTTGTGTACTCTTCGACTATCTTATCATAGTCTAAGAAATCTGCACTAGTGTCTCTCCTAATAGCAATATACTTCTTGTCATATACTAGTAGTGGAACATAAGGTCAACCAAAAGATATTTCATATTGAACTGGGAAAGAAAAGCAGACAAAAGCAAACATAAATGAATAAGGAACACAAGCGCACAAGAGCTAAATAAATAAGTGATTACAGTTTAGAAATATATACTTAAAGCGAAAAATGAAACACTAAGAATGGAGTGAAAATAACTCAACAAGCATACATGAATAAGATACACAATAAATAAGTCATTACACTTTATAAAACATACGGGAGCTACATGGTTATTACAACATAAAAAAAAACAAAAACACAAACACAGATGTGCATTGGGACCTCACACATCAAGTCCTTACACGGGCCACATGTTTTACAACATAAACAAAGTGGGAAAATATATGACCAAACATGCCTTAAACTTTAAGAATCTATATTGAAAGAAAGAAAAAACATATAGGGACCACATGTTTAATTCAACATAAACAATAGATGTACAAACTTTAAACAAAAAGGTGAAAAAAGGCATTTGGGATAAGTCCCGGCTATTATGCAAAAATGAACTTAAAAAAGAAGAAGAAGAAAACATACAGGGGCATGTTTTACAACATGAACAATATTGAAAAAAATGTGAACAAACATATATTACACTTTAGGAATCTAAAAAAAAGAAAAGAAAAAACATACAGTTAGGTCAAGTAATAGTAAGTACTATTGTTAACTTTTGGTTTTGAAAGTTGCCGAGTCTATCTACTACAATGTTCATGTACACAGTAAGAAAACTAGACAAGCAAATGACTCAAGCTCCTTTTAAATTACTATTTCTATTGTGTTTCTTATTCATTGAAGTGATGCCTCATATGAGAAAACTATTCCTTTTAGTTTCCATTTGATTTTTCTTATCTTATATTTTTCTAAGTTGCAAATATTAGTATATTTATCTATTTCGTGATAAACAAGTCATAATAAATAGAGAGCATTTAGGATAAACAATAGGACTACAACATACAATAAACAATAGGACCACAACATATAAGACAACATTCTCAAAAGATTACAAAAAGGAAATAATAAACAACAAAAAGGGGCATTTGGGGCCACACACTTCAGACTAGGACAAAACAATATATATTAATATACTAGTCCATTAAATACTACTACTTTAAGTCAAGTATTTCTTAAATCCAACCTTGACATAATAAGACCACAACGTACGAGACAACATTCTCAAAAGATTACAAAAACTATAGCTATTGAATCACAATTCAATAAGATACAAAATCACACGCCCTTCTTAAGTATCTCCTACAGTATATGCTGAAAAATTATCAAAATTTTT